ATATATATATATATATATATATATATATATATATATATATATATATATATATATATATATATAATGAAAGAAAATAGTTTTATATATAATTTATTTAATGATTTCTATTTATATAATAAAATTTTATTTTTATGAACTAACATTCTTATCTGTATTTATTTGTTTTTAGTTTTATTTAGTTTTTATTTATTAATAATAAACAATAAGTTTGAATGAGTTTTTCCATTCATTCGAGCAAACAAACATGATAATGAAATGTTATGATTATTTAGGTTCACTATATTACATTGTCCGTTTATTTCTTCGTGATTTCATTTATTCATATCAAAAGATCTTAAGGCATTTTCGTTTCCAAGTGAATGTTAACTCAAAAAAAATGTCAAATCAACATAAACCTCATGTTATTTACACTTACACCAAAGTCGTCCATCATATCCTATGACTTGTACTTTATGTTGTTTCATTTGTACCTTGGTCATACTTGTATCCTAAAATTTTATAAGAGACCTATTTAGGCACATTTCCATCACATACTTGTCATATAATACATTGTCAATAATACATAAGGCGCTTCGTGTATAACACATAAATGTTTCATTTCCTCATTTAGGTATTATACTTATCGTTATGTCCCATTTAGGCAACATACTTTCCAAGTTCACTTCTTTCAGCAATAAGCACATCCTTGATATATTCCCATGATATATATTATAACTTATTGTCATCATGGATATGTCATTAACTAAGATAGAATTGTGTGCATTAAGGAGTTGTACCTTATGCAAGGACTCTAAAAATGGATTTTAAATGATATTATGATAGCTGTGTAATGTCATTTTATAATGATATGTCGGTTATATCATCAGTACAAGTGTACAACCAAAAAATGAAAGTATGATGCCTAAAAAGGAAATAGGCAAAGTACATAATAATCAAATTCAAAACAGTTTGTTGTCAATTAAGATAAGGTACTCTTAAAAGCGTAAGGAGTGCTGAACCATGAGAAAGAAAGTAAGTGAAAGTGCATTTGCCTAAATAAGATATGGAATTTAAGCATCTTGTATGCATTAGCAATATACTTGTGATGAATATGTACACTGGATTGTGGTAAGGTGTTCGGGAATAACTTATATATGTGATTTTTGGTTTCATTATAGCCCTGTCGAAAATAACCGAAACCCGAATTACCCGCCCGACCCGTTTTCAATTCGGGTAAATCGGGTCGAGTAGTTCGGGTATCGAGTATATATTTTCGGGTATTCGGGTTACCCGGTTTTTTTAGCCCGGGTATAGGGTATATGTATCGGGTTTCGGGTATGCCCAAAATACCCGATTTATCTAAAAAATAAAGGAGTCTTTTACCTAAACATAATAGTTTAAAAAAATATTTACGGATGTATGGTACTTCTAAAAATATTTACAGAAATATAATAGAGAGTTTTGTGGAATGTTCGGAGCGTACTATGTTCTGTAAATTAAAAAACTAATAAACTCATCCACTTCCCATCTTAATTTGGATTACCGACAAGGAAACGAAGACCAGTATCATTCTCAAAGATGATACAAAAATATCAAATCAACTAAAAAAAATATATTCAAATATTCTATCCCTCCGTTAGACCAACAGTTGAGAATGCAAGATATAATAGCTAGTGTTACCGACGAGAAAACCAAAGGAGACGGTCGATATCGGTAAGGTTAAATATGGATTTATCTATATTTTTAGTTTATTTTTTATAAGAGGATGGGTCCATTATTCCATTTAAAAGGTTTTTACTATATTTATGTAAATAGTATTAAAACTACTATACTTTGGTAAATATATTTTAAAAATACAATCCTCACGTACAAAACTTAAAATAAATGGCCCGTTGGGTAATATTCACATTTATTCATATGTTGTTTACGACTTTACCCTCATTCCCGATCATTGATTTCAAAAAAAAAAAACTTGTCTGCTTTTTTGAGTTTTCCATCAAAGTATCGAACCCTATGAAGACAAAGAGACATCTCCAGTAGACTTCAAACTTAACTCGTTGTAACCGGTCATCAAGTCGTCACCAACACTCACCGATTTAGACTTCAAATTTCAAACTAAGTGATTACTTGATATCTCAAGTATTATTAACTAAAAATTTTAATGTTCAAAGTTTGAGTAACTTTGTTTATGCCTCGTTTGTTTATATAAATAAGACTAATAGAGTACGGAATATTTATTTCATTACATTTATTTTCGGTTAATATCCGAATTACCCAAACCCGACCTACTACCCGAATTACCCAAACCCGACCTACTACCCGAATTTAATTTGGGTCGGGTAACAAATATCTTTTTTAACGTGAAAAACCTGAATTACTCGAAACCTGAAAATTTTACCTGATCAACACCCCTATTTCATTAGATTTGGGGTTTGATGGTTATGTATTTATGTCGGATGTTCTTTTAAAGATTATGCAAGATTGATGTATATTAGTTGTGTAAAAATCATTGAAAACTTAAATATCTTACTACTTTTGTTTTTACTTAATTTCCTATTCCTATAAAACAATGACGTGTGGAATCCCTCTCTTAATCTTTTTTTTTTTATATTTGTTTTAATCTAGTGAGTAAGAAGATTAATAGGAACGAAGGATATGAGGATATTTGATTTCTCAAAATATTTGAGAAATTAAATATTTTCCTACTTTTGTTCCTACAAATCCTCTTACACATTTAAATGATAACATTTGTCATATTAGTATACTAAAATATCATCAAATTTTATTAAATAAGCATTAAATGTTACACGTATCACTATTTAATTGGATATAAGGATTTGTGGGAACAAAAAGTGGAAAGATATTTAATTTCTCGAGAGAAAATCATGGAAATTTAATCTAATTTCATGATTTGGAAAGTAGGGATTCATAAGTAATTTTGTAAATAATTTGGAAACTTGATGCGTGTATATAAGTTTGGCAACTTACTCGATACACCTTCCAGTAATCTGTTCTGTTTAATTCTCCTACACCTAAACAACTACATCCTTCTTGCAATTCTATTATTTTAGACTTTTAGTAATACCAAGTTGGTATTACTATTAAACTAGATAGATAGTTTATTAAAAGAAAAATACATACGTGTCACTTGAAAGGAGTCGTTATGAATGTTCATGTTGACATGAAAATGTTAGTCCCATTAATGCATGATTGGGATAAGGCTGTTGGATATTATAAGTCCCTACTTATCGCTAAAATAATATCTCAGTGAATCAACAAAACAGAAAGCGATTCACTAATATTTCTGAGAGATTTATAGGAAGTAACTGTTCATTAAAAGTAATATAGTCATTGAAATCAAGATATTTCTTAGAATCATGCCATGATGGTTGAGGCTAGAAATTCATTGTTTACACAAATTTTTCCCTATTTCTGTTTTATTTTTAAGTTTGATGCAAAGTGGTCAAATTTTACATTTAACCTCAAACATGCCTATGCCTATGTAAAAGAATAGTTTTGCAAACATATAAATAATTTCAGAACAGTTAAAACAATACATACTAATGACACTACAAAGTATTTTCTACAAAACTGCTAATTATATTCCTCACACTTCATAAAATAATCCGCATACTCTTGCAACATAAGCACACACAATTCCTAAAAACATTAATTTATTACTTGTTAGTTTTTCACATGAGCACTGTTCAAATAGAATAAAAAAAAATGGGGAGAGCAAATTTACCAAAAAGGGCAAGTGAGCTTCTTAAAATTAATCCTCTTCCATGGGCACATCTGGAATATCAAATCGGTCTTCATCTATAGTTTTATTCATCACAGAAACAGGGGAAGGTGATACAAGAGTTAAGGAGAAATAAGCAAACAATGAATTCAGATCACACACAAACACAGATTCATTGGATGGAATGGAATGAGTCATTACATTCCATTCTTTCTCTGATTCCATCATTACCAAAATAAAATATGAGGAAATTGTAAAACTTTAATTAAACAAAAAGAAGGATATATAGAGACATAAGATCATCCTCCTTCTCCCCACGGATTCGGCTATTATTCAGCTCTCTTAGAATTTCAGGTGTCACCTGCATTACATTAACATCAGTACTTTATAAAAATATTACAAAACTAGTCCTTGTAATTTCTGATTTTTACCTTGTTTACTTTAAAAACAAAACATTTTTCAACAAGGACCAAAAGTTAAAAAAGTTTTAGATTCAGACCAAAAACAGTAAAATTTAGAAAGCACAATTTACTCTGATTAATATAATTGTAAGCAAAACATCTTTTGAACATTTACACTTACCAGTTTATGTCTCTGCTTCTTGACAAGATAATTAATGTCATCTTTTTGCTCCTTTGTGAGTTCATGTTTATACCTTTGCATAAATGCAAGAAGTGACTGATGCCAAATGACAGGCATGTCCCTGGAATCTTCACAAAATCTCATAAAATGTGCAACCATTGCATCAATAACTCTATATGGCAAAGCATATTTCTTCTCAACTAATATCTTTATAAAATAACTGCATCACAAAACCACTAACTTAACTCTACTTCATAACATGTGTAATTCTTGAAACTAAAAATTAAAAAAATATACCTTGTTGTGCCACCATATTCCATTTCTGCAAGTTTCATTAGAGCAGCACTACAAGTTGACATCAGAATTTGGTTATATTTCCCTTCAAGTAACAATACATTTCTTTACAAATAATAGAAATACAATATAATACCTGGAATGAAGTGGTGGAATTGAGACCTTTTGAAGAATACTTCCAATAATAACAGCTTCTCTCAAATTACAAGTCCTAGACTGCATACAAGACACAAAAAGACTTTCATGAATTTGGACTCTGGTTAAAAGTAAAACTAGGGTTTGAAGTTTTGATTAATTCATACATACAGCACATAGTGGGAACAAGATTCCTTTATGGAAGGCAGATGGTTTGTATACAGACTTTTTCAAAGCTTGATATAATGCAAAATGAAGCTTCTTGTTCTTGCGTATATCTTGTCTGATACGAGGGAGTAAAACAAATTTGTAAAACTTTGTCACTTTACTTGAACTCATATTGGAAGCAAGTATTCGGGTGGCTTGATAAACTGCATTTGGTGACCATTTATCTGGTTCTGTCAAGTATAAAAGTTCCTCCCAGTTTTGTTTTGCTGGTATGCTTTTGAAGGCCAATGGGAGTTTTCCTGAGGTATATTTCTTGAAAATCTCTCCAACACTGCATTACACAAGTGGGATGTTTTATAACTTAACTGTAAAGAAATTTTAAAGAACAAAGAATGAATAAGTATGGAACCTCTTGTATATTTCTATGATGGAATCATCCAATTTGGGCGATGGTTGAAGTACTGCAGATAAACCTATAGAAAAAGATTAGACTATGATCATAATATCAGAAAAATGGAGAAGTACTGTCATCAACACAATCAATGGTGGAAAAGCAAGTAAAACATATGAACCTGGAGGCATTTGATCTTTTTGTTTGATCTTTCTCAATATGACATCAGCCAATGTTTGCTGAGGACCAGTATCTTTGGAGAAGAAGGCTTCGAGTAACTTCTCTTCATCCTCATTAATTTCTTCCTGTGTTTTCGTCAAAATTCTCAATTACATGGGTTTCATGAGCTAAATTAGAACACAAATTGGACAATATGAAGCATGTAAGATGAAGGAAACCTCATAACCGCCAAATTGACTGTGATTATCAGAGAATCCAGCAAAGTTGTCAACGTCATCGTCTTCATCTACTTGAGTCTGAGTAACAGGTTCTTCCGAGAAAACAATGTTATCAGGGTTTTCGGCATCTGCCTCATCCTGAATCTCCTTTTGCTGAAGCAAAGCCTCCTTCAAAATTTTGGAGCTCATGCCCGCCGATATAAGCTGCAGTATACATATAGTTTATGAAAAACTAATTTCATAATAGCATCTGATAACTATATACATATATGCAATCATTAGATTGAGAGAATATAAGAATGTTTGTTCAGCATGATACCTTTTCTTCGCTCTGATGCTGTTTAGCGGGTTTGGTGCGCTTCTTGGAGACAGATTTGTTGGTGTCATCCGATAAGAAAGGTTCTGGATTTTGATGTCTCTCTCGTTTTTTCGCCATTGATAATCGAGAAAATTGACAACAGATGCTGGTACTGCTTTCTTCGCCGCTTCAAAGTTCAAACACCCTAGCAAAACCCTAACCCTTGGTATGAGGCGTTAATAGTTGACAGAATCTTCTGGCTTTAAATAACAAATGAGTCAATTGCAAAAATAGGGCCTTTGGTTTACAAAAACGTGCAGGTTCGGTCCATCATTTTTGGACATCATTTTCGGGCGCGCATGACTGAACCAAAATACGTTTTTTTTTCGTGGTTTATGTTCTTACTTTCGTCTACTTTTTCTCGTTAAGTCCCACACATGCTCCCTACGTGAGGGCATTTTCGTCATTTTAGGTTGGAAACCATAAGGACCAACTTTGTAATTTACTTTCACCTTTTAAATAAGACCCAATGTTTGTTTCGTTTTCGTCGCTTACCTTGGGTACTGAACTCAACAAAAATCAACATGGTGATGCGATATTGTAGTAAGGTGGTTATCATGCGTACTTTATGGACTAATACCAAGCCTAGGAGGTGATTCTGGTTTTGCCCTAAAACGGTATGTAATCATTTCATCTTGTGTTTTCGAATATGTGTTTGTAGGTTCTCATCTTTTTGAAATTATCCTTAATTTATTGAAAGGATTCTACATGTGGGTTTCTTGGCTGGGTTGATCCACATATATGTGAACACTTAAATGACATAATTCTAGGATTGTTGAAATCAATGAACAAACTTCAGGCATCGTTTAGGAAATGGAGCAAGAAGTGATCAAATTGGAGTTATACATGATAAGCAGATGACTTTTCTTCATGTTTGTCTATGATATGTTGAAATAGTATGTAGGCGTTATGGGTTTGTTGTGTAGTTTTTTTGTTAAACTTGATTGTAAGTTGTAATGTCAAGTTTAATATTTAGTTGTAGCATGGTTATTTTGCTCAATCAAATGGTTAATGTAAATGTTCATTGTAAGTTTATGATCTAATGGAAACAATTATTTTGCATCAATGAAATTGTAACACCCTTGATCCAGGTATTTTCCATTTATACCCTTAGTATGAAATTTATTTGCAAATTGGTCCCTTAGCTCCTTAAGTGAAAAATGTGTGTGTGCCTAGTACGATGGGCGTACTACAACTTACGTCATGTGTAAGTGGCTGAGGGTCAAACCCTAATTTTTAGGGTTTGAGCCCTATTTAAACATCATTATCTCTTCAATACATCTTCCCTCATCAACCTCCATCTCTCAAATCACCCATTGTTAACCCTAATCCATTGTGTGAGCATTTTGAGCTTGAAAGTGTGCTTTTGGTGATCTTAAATGAATAAGAAATAAGTGGAATCAACTTGGAAGCTCAATGCATCTTGGATCCAGAAGTATCTTGCCATCAAGCATCATTTGAAGGTATAAAGTTCTGATCTTGATGCATGTTTGCTTTGGATTTTGCTAGTTCTTAGGTTTTTATGCTTTTAGTCCTATAATCTTGTTGTTCATGAATATAGCTTACTCTAACCCACAAGGGTTGTCCTTCCAGACGTTTTTAGGTGCTTAGAACCATAAAATTGTGATATTAGTCTCTTTCCTTTATTCATTCATGAGATATGAGGTTTTAGTTTGTGTATTAATTTAGGGTTTATTTGTTGGACCCTTTTCTAGCCTTGGAAAGTCATAAAGTTGGAAACTTTATGACTTAGAATGTTATTTGGAACTAGATCTGAGTGTTGGACGTGGTGTCTTAATATAATAAGCACTTAATAAAGAAGATGGAAGTCAACCGAGTACGGTGGGCATACCCAGTGGTACGTTGCACGTTCCTGGTTGGGACCCTGTAACCGGACCAAGGGTGCACTACGCTGGGCATAGTGGTTGAGTATGCCGAGCGTACTCAGTCTAAGTTGACTTTTTGACTTTGGACCTTTGAGCAGGATTTTGACCAAGTTTGACCTAAGGGTATTTTGGATATTTTGAGTTGTAGCTTGAGTTTAGGTCACTGTTTGTTGTATAGGTAACCTATAGAGTTGACTTTTGGAGCAGCGTTCTTTTCTGCTATCTTTTTAAACTGTGAGGTGAGTTTCCTCACTATACTCATGGGTTGAAGGCACCAATGCCGGACCATTCAGTTCTGTATCCTGATATATATGATGTTGTTATCTTGTAGTGATCTGTTAAATTTGTATGATTATTTGTTGCATATGTCGAAATAATGTGGTTGGTTTGAGGCAATATTGCTATGTGCAGAAGCCAACAAACCCAGGAGCAAGCCAGACATAAGTTGTGGGCCAGGAAGGCAAGCCAGACTTATGTTGTGGGCTCGGGAGAAATCCAAACATGAGTTGTGGGCCAGGAAGGCAAGTCATACTCATATTGTGGGCTCAGGGGTAATCCAGCCAGATGGTTGTTGTAACACCCGTGTTTCTAGGCTAGACATTAATATTGACATAATAGTCTAGGTTAACCTTTGTAACTCATTTTGAAG